GCCTTCAAACACTGGCATCAAAGATTTGTACATTTTATGACTGTTTCCTTGTGAGAACAAGCAGATTCAATAATCCATCAATAATTCAGAACAGGTAGTTGATATATGCTTTTTAATGAAATCCTTTAAAATGATCAATCCCCACAATAAAATAAATTTATTCCTAACATTATTAGCTCATTAAAAATGGTTTATGCATTCACTGTTTGATCAGTTTTTTATGCCTATATCCTGTAATTATTTTGTTCTTAAAATCTGTATCACTTTTATTCTTTTCTCATTTAAAATTAAATAAAAAATTAATTTAGTATTATATTTATATATTTGCTTTGTATGGTTGAAGTAGGTTGTAATTTCATATTTCATCATATAATGATAATATCTCCAGTATTAATTAAAAATCTATTTTTCACCCATTGTTTTCTATCCTCAGTATTCATTGTGTACATAGGACAGAGGGAGGCAAATAAAACCTTTCCAAATACAAAAACTAAGGAAGAAAAATTTTGTACAAAAATAACCAGTATCACTAGCATACTAGTCTTGAAGCTTTAAAAAGAGGGAGAATGATATAAAATGAATGGAAAATGAGAATATTTCCTGCAATTTAATAAAATAGAGACACAATCCAAAGAATGTCACACTTAGCATTTTATTTCCTCTGGGCTTTTAAAATGATGTTTAATTGCAGATGGTGACCTTCTGGATAGTGCGATGTTTACAAGTATTAAATTTCAAGTACGAGCTTCCCTCATTTTCCATAATGCATCTGTGGGGAGTCATTTATAAAATCCAGGCAAAGATTCATAAATTAAGAAATCACAGATATTTCTGAGTTAACAGATTGTTCACCTACCCATTCTAAGGTGGCAAACAGGTTTGAAATTCATATTATTTTAGCACTGAATTTTTATTCTTAGTTAGTTATATCTAATATTATATTTTAAAGTTATTTTAGAGGTAATGATAATAATACATGTTCATTTACTAATGAGTATTAAGTTGCTTTGAATTGGTCTATATAGAAGTATTGATTTAAATGGTATAAAACATTAACAGAGTTTGGTCTTTTGGCCTAACATGACTCTTTGGGATTTCACATTTTATTCTCTCATGATGTTTTATGTGTAGAACAATGGTTAATATGTCTGTTCAGAATTTTTCTTGCATAAAAATTAGTAAATTTGCAGAAAATACTGCATTTTATATACAACATGAAATGTCTCTGCTAGAGATTATTGGAAGTAGGTAGTAGGTATAGGGTGAAATGGAGAGGTCATTTCATTGCTTTCAAAGTAGCTAATGTCCATGTATCTAGCACTTTCTCTGAAACATTAGCAATTATATGCTATCTCTTTTTATTCATTTACGTTCCTAGCCATTCTGAGCAAGATAATGGATTAAAGTAGGTAAGAGAAGGGTAACAATGTTGGAGACACCTGAATGGGGATCTTTTTCTGATAATCCATGACTTCTTGTGATTACAGGGCTGACACTTCCTAGGAAAGCATGGAAACATTAAGCAAAAGAAAAGGCTATGGAAAAGGGCTGTGAACTCACAGCAACATGTTCTCTGGCTATTTCTCCCCTGCTCACCACCAGCCTGCTTTTTCTATTTGTGATTCAAAATCTTGACCTAGAACCCCTCTGATCCCTGCAGCAGGACTGTATGAAAATATAAAGAGATTCTGAACCTTCACATTAAGTATGTCTATTTACCTAATAGAGGAGAATCTGCAGAAATCTCTTTGTGTACTAAAACCTTGATCTATGTTTTGTGATTGACTTTTTAATACCTTCAATGTAAAAGCCAAGTTTAGATGCATAGTACAAAAGAGCCCACATACATTTTCTTTTGCTTTTCAAATCCCAGCTTAATGTAATGGGAAAAAATTGTGGTTTCCTATGGCTACAAGAAACTTTTTTAAAGAGGGCTGCTCAGAGCTTACAGTATTAGCTATGTAGCTTGATTGTGGCTGATGAAAGTTGAAGATCTATGATTATAAAGATATTTGAAAAAATGAAACAAGAATCAGCAGTAGAGTATCTGCATGTGTTTAATAATATAATTCTATGTCACTCCCCCACCCCAGTGGCTTCTTATTATGTTTTCAGAAAAGACAGGCAAAGCTTAAGATGAATATACTTAATAGAAAAATACTTAAGAAGCATTTTGCAACTAGTTCAAAACCGTAAGTGACATGTATGGATACAGCCTTTTATCTGTCTGTGGTAAATGGTATCATTGCATAAAATAAGAATTTTCTCAATTGTTGATGGAACCAGAGATTGATACAAAAAGCACAGTGGTTGCTAATCCACTTGAAAAGCTGATCAAAGGTTTGGCTGAATCTTATCAGATAAAGCTGGAAAGTTGTCTGATTTTCTCTGACTTGGTACTTTCAATATACAAGTGGCTTAAGAACAGGTAAAGAAAAACCCAATGATCAAGAAAACTCAAGTAAAATTCTTATGAAGCTTGTTATGAGCAAAGAAATCAACCTTTTTAAAGCACCTGGAAAGATGATATAAGGGATTATAAAAATTTTTTGAAAATATTAAATTTTTCAATCACTTAGGTTAAGTAAAATTGTTTCCACTTCAAATTTGAAGTGGAAATAATCAGTTTGAATCATTTAAATACATATAGACAAATACACAAGCATTCCTACATACATTTCCTAAATCTGCATATGGAAGTGAGTAGATAAGCAGCTATGTAATTAAGAATGAAACTGTGTAATTTAGTTGTGATTCATAATTGAAATGTCACTATGAGCTTCTTTTACATTTCATGGACATACAAATTTCGTAAATTTTGACTGTGAAACATTGACCAACCATAGATGACTTCAGTTGTAAGGCATGAACTATTGAAGATATGTTCAGAGCATCTTTTTTATTTTTTGGTAATTTTTATTTTAAAGAGAAAAACAAAATTTCAAAACAAGTTACTAGGAGAGTAATAATGGTTAATATATTGCATATTTTTATAATTAAATTATTTCTCAGAATATAAGATATAGGCACTTAATTGTCCAAACAATATTATCACAGAATTTTCAATGAGCTAAGAGAAATTAGTATTATAGCAACATCAGTTGTACATTTTATTCTTCCAGCTTCTTATACTAGAGAGACAATACAATGTTTACATGAGAATCTGGTTTATTTCACTTATGAGTATAGATTCAACTGGCAAGAAAGTTGTCAACAGCTTTCAGAAATCATGATGAATAGGCTTTCTCTGGCCAAACATGGAATAATGAATATGACAACAGCAGACTGAAACTTACCAGATATTGTTTAAATCCTTGAATTCATAATGCTGTTTCAAAAGTAAAATACCACTGGTCAAGAAGGTAACGTTATGTGAAAAAAATAATAAAGGGAAATAATCAATATTCATTTCATCCTTTTATGAGCTATATGTTCACAGCACCAAATTTATTATAAGGAAAAGTTCTCATAGAAGTGACTCAGACAATGTACAGAAGATGGCAGAATAAATTATTACTTTGCCTATTAACTAGCCACAAATGAGCAAGGGAACTTAGCACAAATACCTCTAGCATCTCCTAATGAAAACATGAAATACCACAAGTAAAACTGTTTTGCAAAAAAAAAAGAGTCCAAAATCTAACCCATTAAGAGAATTGTAGGTACAAGCACTGATACAGAAATGAGTTCCAACATGACACCGCAGAGATGTTGTTAGAAAAATCCTGTGATATATTATATAAGATATCAAGTCAATTTCCTTAATAAATAGATTGAAAATGAAATAAGAGCATGAAAAGGGCAAAGAGGAAAGTACAGATTAAAAAAGAATCTGGGGCCATAGCTTGTCATAATGCATAGCATGATTCAGGCAAGTGAATTGTTCTAAGTAAATAATTAGACAATGATTGGAAATTGAACACTGGATATTTGACAGAATTGGAAATTTTTGTGGTATAGGCCCTTTGCTTTGAGAAATGATAACTGAAAGGCAAAATTAATGCGCTGTTACTGATGATGAGGGTTGCTCTCATGACTAGAAATGAGGAGCTGACTCTGATTGTCGTCATTACAATTCATCTCTATGTGGTTTTAATGTTTTTACAATTCTATTTATTGTATGTGTGTACCTGTATTTTCCCCCTAGATAATTCTTCTTTTCTGATTTTTATCAATTTGATTCATTTTTTAACAAGTCCACTTTTAATGAAATGAATGTTTTGAGGGATTTTGTTTTATTTTTATTTTAATTTTTATCAGTACAAGATTGCAGTACACAATCACAATAATGACGTCAATTGTGGGAAATCAGCACTATATATGTGTCTACTTTTCACATCTAACATTGCTGCTAAATTGGTTTGTTACTATGACAGTCTTTTGCAAATTAATTGTATTTTAAAATTAATAGAATTCTTTTAATATTCCTTTTTCCTGACTCTGTCCTCTAGGTTATATTGAGTTGCTTTTCCCTTCCACACCTTTCTGTGGAAATCTAGATTAGAATCTAAAAAAAAAATATTTTTTATTTCAGATCATTGTATTTATTTGTACGTATTTGCAGTTAATGTTCACAGTCCTTATGCAGAGGAAGTAAAAGGCAAGAAACATGTTAGCTCCTTTTTAAAATCCTTTCCCCCTTTTCTCTCTCTCTGCCCTTTCACCCTGCACCTCTCTATTTATTATGTTTCTTTTACTTTGCTCTTTATGTATACACTGGGTTTCTCATAACAGAAAAAAATCACGTTTTATTTAAGTTTATGTGTTTGCATTTTAGAGCAGGGAGGAAGGTAAGAAATAGACATGATTTTAACTAAAATTAATATAGCACGAATTATTACAGAATCATATAGAAGCAGTTGAGAATTTGCCACCAACAAGAACTGAGAATCACAGGGTAGATGTAGCTTAATAATGTTAATGTATTCCTACCCGTTAAGTTTCTATAAATAGCACACACCAGGCACACGGCGCATTCCTCATGATTAGCTTCTCCCTCTTGACTACTTCATCAGTTGGTGCCATCAGACTGTTCTGAAAGTCATTGCTACTGATTAAGAGAAATGAACTGGATCCTTTTAAGATGGCCCACAGAGCTGGCCATAAAATGGGAGATGGCTGAGTGTCTGTAGGAGCAGGTGAATACTCCTTGTGAGGGAACAAACACCCAGAATCCTCTGGAAGCAGCAGACTACAGCTGTCTTTTAGAAATAGAGGCGTCAGAGGGAAGCTTGTCATTTTGTGCCCCTTGCTGGGTTTGACTCTGTGTGTGTGTGTGTGTGTGTGTGTGTGTGTGTGTGTGTGATGTCTAGCAAGTGTGTGTGTGCGTGTGTGATATGTGCAGTGGTGTGTGTATGTGCGACATTGCATACTCTATGTGTGAGTAAGCACTACTTACTCAGGTTTCTAACTGAGATTTCCACTTAGTTTCTCTCATTCTCTAGAGCACTTGAACCATCGTGAGCCATGGTTGAACCATCGTGAGCCATGGAAAGGAAAGGAATCCACAATTAGCACGTGGCAATCAAAGTAAGGAGATGGAAGAAGACATTCTGGTACCTGTCTTTTAGATTCACTATCCAGTACTTTTTTTCACCGGTACCAGGGATCGAACTCATGGTCACGCACTTGCAAGGCAGGCGCTTATGCCGCTGAGCCAAATCCCCAGCCCCTGGGATTCACCATTCACAAAACAGGTAAGGAGTATTTCAACTAGCTTGGGACTGGACTTTGAAGTACCCAACTACTTGTTCTGGATATGACAGAGCCAGCAATCTAAAGAAATATCAGTGCAGGAAATGAAACGAGATAAAGGCTGGTTGGGGGTCTATTACAGAAAGGGGGCCTGCACATCGGCTTTGCAATGATTTAGTGGGAAATTTAATTACCTTTCATTTGGCACATTTGCAACAGGTATAATATTTATACCTTTATAAAGAAAATGTTATTTGTGACATTTTTTTATTTAACAATACTTAGTACTATTAATAAAAAGAGAAAGTAGAGGAAAATGACAAAAAAAAAAAAAAGCCAATACAGAAGTTATTGCTTTTAAACTTCACATTTCTTAGGAAAAGGCAAAAAATATGACTTTAATATTTGTTTTTTATTACTGAAATTGTTTGAAAGTCATAATTGGTCTGTGTCCCCTCATAATGTTCTGGGTATGGTTTCTGCATGTGGAACTGAATTTTTAATAAGAATTTCACACTTTTAATAGGCACCTGCTGTCTTCTTCTAGTTAGTACATTTTTATGCTTTTTAAAAGGATATTAATCACATATGCCAAATTGCTACGTATTTCATTTGTTGATCTAAATAAATTATTTTGAATTATTTTTAGTCTTACAAAAAAGTTGGAAGAGTAGTACAGAGAATTCCTGTGTATTCCTCATTAGCTTTCCCTTACTGTTAATGATTTGCATAGCTACAGTACAAATAGCATAATCAAGAAATGGACTTATAAAATAATATTAATGAAATTATAGAGTTTATTGAATAAAACTTCTGGAAAAAATAAAAATAGAAATATTGTAGATTTTAAAAGTATGTAGGTATCAGTAGATTGATCACTGGAAGACAGATTTAGTAAACTGGAAATTAGGCCATAAGAGATTATGCAGGCTGATCTGGGAGAAATCAAAGGTAAAAACATTGATGAGATTTTGGTTTATTTTAACATCATAAGAAATAAAGTTGTCCCTTCATATTCATGGATTCAATATCCACAGATTTTGCCAACCACAGATCTGGCATTGTTTTTCTTAGCTAATGATGGCCATATCTGTACTGATAATGTATGAACTATTTTTTGTTGGCATTATTCAATGTGTAGGGCATCTATTTACATAGCAATGCATTGTGAATTGTAAGGAATCTAGAGAAGCAGATAGAATATAGATTGTATGAAAACACTAGGTGATTTTATAGAGGGGGAAACTGAGCATCCTTGGATTTTGGTATCTGATGAGAGGGTAAGTACACTGAGGGATTCCCGGATGTGTTTTGGTTTTCCACCTCGTTTCCTGGCATATAACAACTAAAACTCTTAGACTACCCTAATGCATATGTTTTGGTATATTGTCAGCTTACATTTCATTATGATAACATATCCAAGGAGGTTAATTTGTTTTTTTCAAAATAAGTTTATTTTGACATGATTCTGTAGATGTAATATCAAGGAAGCACATCTGGGGATGGCCCTTTGTGTGAACAGAGTCCCATGATAGCGTAAGCCATCATATGACAAGTATATGTCTGGTTTTCTTTACTCTTCTTACAAAGTCACTAGACTTCAATCACAAAGGCTCCTCTCTGGTGAATTTTTCTACTCATATTTACCATCTAAAGGCACCACGTCTAAGCATCATAGATTGAATTTCTCCCCTCTTAATATTTAAAAATTTCATTTAAATTTCAACACATGAAGCCCTAAGAGACACTCATGCAAACCATTTCAGGATCATATCATCTGCCAGCCAGATGACTGGTGGCTGGAGTCTCCTGGAAAACCTCAAGATGGAATTTGGTAGTCAGACAAACCAACTGTGTGGTTAGAGGATTGGAACACTAGGTTCTGTGACCTCACTTTAGGGAAAGGAAGACCGCTTAGAGGATGCATGAGTCACTAGTGGCCAATGACTTAGTAAAACATGCCCATGTCATGAAATCTTTCTAAAATCCCACAAGGTGAGCATTTAGAAAGTTTCTAGGTCACTGAAAATGCAGAGGTGCTGGGAAGGTGATGATTCCAGAGGGACACAGAAACTCCACAGCCTTATGTATCTTTTCCAACTAGCTATTCCTGAGGTGTATGTTTTCATAGTAAATGTATGCTAAGCATAAGTGTAACATGTTTCCTTCAGTTTTGTGAGTCATTCAAGCAAATGACCAGGTATTGTGGGAACCTCCAATTTGTGAATGAAAGAATGGATAATCTGGGGATTACAGGAGAGAAAAAGTAATACAATTTCTCCATCCATTGCAGGGTTCTTAGCTGACAAATTTATAACATAATAAGTGTATAACTAAATTTGATTAACCAAAGTGTTACTGGCGTACAGTCTTTAAAAATAAAGACCCTCAAACCAGCAAATCTGCTTTTATGCTATGTCTGATGAAAAATAGATAGTTGTGGTAAAACATTATTGAACAGGAAAGGATTTTGATGCAGTGTAATAAACTTAGGAAACCAGAGAAGCATGGTTGTTTAGACTGTCTTCTGTTTCTAGATGGCATTCCTTACTTTCCAGCAAGTTGCAGGACATCTTTGTCCAACTATCTACAGAGGAGACACTTGTAATAGCACTGATACTTCTCTAACTTTTATTCATCTATTTTTGGATTGCATTGCAGGAGAAGAAATACATTACATTAAGAATATTTTGTTGACTAAATAAGTGTGAATTGATTTTGTCACAAAAACATAACTATGAGATGATAGCTTAGGTTAACCTGTTTCACCATAATAATCATGTTAATCTCTTCATGGACCCTATAATATATAGCAAACCTCAAGTATGTGAAATAGAATTTTTAAAAAGAGGACATAGAAACACAAACTAAAGTCTTGAAAAGCCAGGATAGAAAGTGGTAAATATGTGGATAAATGTACATTAACATAAGATATGTGCAGCAGAAATATAATGTCTGGTGGACAATACGAGTCAAAAAGTGTAGTGGATTAAATTCTCACAAATAAAAATGTGACACATAAGTTGACAAATGAATAAATAATGTATACATTTTGACTTCATTTTTTATCCTGGCAATATAATAAAGATTTTTATTCTCTCTAGATATTAGGCTTTTCATTTCACAATATATGTGAAAATTAAAGTTAAAAGAAGGCATATGTGTGAATGATCTTTAGAAGATACAGAACAAAGTCCTCATAACATTGAAATATAATAGTCTTAAAAATGAAGCACTTAATCAATGAGTGAAAACTGATAAATTTATATAAATTTTGAGACATTTTTTTCCAAAGTAAAAGCTGAACTTACTGGATATATTGTGTATAATGTATCCTGAATATCTTCAGATCACAGAGAAAATATGTCTAATATTATTTGTAGTCAGGGACATTCAAATTAAATCACCATGGAATACACCCACCAGAATCTCTAAAATTAACAAAAGATTGCAAACATTGGTGATGATTTGGAACAACTAGAACTTGCATACAGCATACATTTATAGCTTTTTGGAAATTTCCATGGCAATGTTTACATATATGTAATTGATTAACAATTCCACTGTTAACTAGGTACCCAATAGAAATATGTGCCTGTGTTTCCTAAGATGGCACATACAAGAATCTTCATAATACTTTGGTTTGAAATAGGTGAAAACTGGAAGCCACGCAAATATCCTTCAATATTTTAAATCAGTGTTGTTTTAGTAACATTTGATAACAATTTGATTCAAAATATTTTGAATCAATGTTATGAATCAATGAATTTTAGCATATTTATGAAACAAAATTCTGAACAAAATACATTCTTGTTTTTGTTCAATGACATGAATATATATCAGCTTCCATTTATAAAACATTCAAAAACATGCAAAAGGAATATAGGGAAAAATGCATAGGAAATAAAATATATTTTAGAAACAAGTAAATAATTGGTATTACTTCACAATTATTATCTATTACTTAAGGGAGTTGCAATTGGAAAGTGACAGGGGCGTCTATGTGCTTTAATTACTTTCCTTGTGGCTGAGACATAATAGTGACATACACAGTTTAATGGAGGCGATAATTAGTTGGCTCTTAATTTTTAGAGGTTTCAGTCCATCATTGGTTGGCTCAAAGGCAGAAACAGCAAGGTGGACAAGCCAGGGCAGAGAGAAGTTGCTTACCTCATGGTAGCCAGGAAGCAAAAAGACATTCGAGGAGTCAGAAAGACAGACGTGCCCTTCCGGGTCACGTCCTCGTCCCTTGACTTGCTTCTTACCAAACCCCATCATAAAGCAAGTAGCTGTAGTATTCCCAGAATCCTAACAAATTGTGGACACAGAGGATTTGGGGGTTTCCTCAGATCTAAACCAAACCAGGAATGTTTGCCTTTTGAACTGGATGAATTTTTTGCAGTGTCACCATTTGTTTAACTAATATATTTCTGTTTACTTAAAATAAAAATAAACAAAGCAAAAATTTTTAACAATTGGCAACTAGCTGTGGTAAAATGATTCACAATTATTTGTCACACTCTAGGGGATTGTTCCATATTAAAAGCAGAAGCTTCTGCTGAGAAAACCTCACATAAACTTATATGAAATTTATTTTTCTCTTTGTGAATGAAAAATGGAAAATAAAAGATAAGTAAGTTACATTTATCTAATGTTAAAAACATTTTTTTAATAATAAAACTTTCATTGCATAGCAGAAAGGAATTATGGCATTGATTCTGAACTGAGGAGAGAGAGAGAGAGAAACAAGGAAAGAAAGAGAGACACAGAGAGAGACTTTGAGTCCCCACATACTTGATGCTTCACTGTAAAGAAGTCACTGAACCTTTTGGAGCCAGTTTCTTCCTTCTAAAATTAGCATAATATAACTCATCTCAAATGCATGTTTTAAGGATGAACAAAGTTCACATATGCAGAGATCACCCTAGGTTGACATTTAGTAAAGTGCAAAGTGTAATAATATTTTTATTTCTGGTAGGTGGCATATATCATACCTGGACAAAAGAAGTAGTCACTCTCAGGAACGCTGTACTCTCCAAGGAAAACATAACTCAGTGGGCAGGAGTGGTGCCAATATCACTGACTTATAGGAGGGATTAAATGAGATAATGGGAACAGATTTTTGACATCAGAGGACACTCTAAATTGGGTAATTTAAAAAAAAATAATGAAGTATTTTCAAGAGTGTACATTGGGAGCTTCAGCAGCCTGGGGTTGGAATGGGAGTGCTGAGGTAGTGCTTGCCAGAACTAGAATGAGGTACACATGGATAACTCATTCATACGGTTGTGCCCTCCAAATGTCGGACTCACCTAATCCATCAGTACCCTGACATCTCTTCTCTTTCCTATGAATCGGTATATACTGCTTTTTCTCCTTGGTAGGATTCAGACTGAAGTGCAAGGACAGAGGAGCCTCAGAGAATACAGAGCAGGGTAAAAACGAAGAGTGGAACATGTTGGAAAAGTGATTATAACATGAACATACAGTAAGTCCTGGGCATGTATTTGGGATACAATGAACTCTCATTATGTAAGATTTTTGTTACTTGCTTATTATTTCTTGTCATCTTATAGGAGAGTATCAGTGTATGATATTATTCTGCTTTCTTGCATTGTGTATCAGTGTGGAAAATTCTCAAAATCTATAGCAGACTATACTGAAGTGATAAAATGTTTTCTCTGAAAACATTTTTGTTGAGGATGAAGAATGCCTCCTCCATGCTTCTCTAATTTGGAAAATCTTGGACACAATGTATAATAGTTATATTTTCAGATATCTGCATCCCTTGTGATCTATTACTTATCTGTCCAAATGCCAGTATTCTGGAAGGTAGTAGGCTTTTTCCGCTATTCGGGTCCTGACAATGACTGCTATATTAGAGACAGGTAAGGTGGCGAAGAAAAACTCAAGGTCATCCTCAGCATACATCACAGTAATTTTGTGCATATGGTGGAATGGGGTGGAAACTGGTGATGAAACTAAGTTTTTGAAAAACGTTTCCTAGATGATTGAGATATGTATCTCTATGTGCTATAGCTTGTAACTTAAATTTTTGCCCTAATGCCTAGTGCACCATTATTTTCTTTACTAAACCTACTTTCCTGTATCCAGAACTTCTTGATGCATTGGTTTCGTTGATTTTTAAATATACAGGAAGAAATTTTTGTAAGATATGTCTTGTTTTAAGCCTTTAGTCCTCTTTGTTTTTTTTTCTTTTTCTGCAATATACAATATTTTTAGTTCTTAAATTTCTATTACAAAATTGACATTAATTTCTTCTTTCCTGTACAACTCAGAACAATTTAACACTGACCATTTAAGTACTTAAATTTTGCACTATTGATGTGCATCTTTTTCCCCAGCACATCCATTTAAGAAAATGTATTGAAAATAACGTTGGCAATAGAAATATGCAGTTTATAGGAGAAGCATATCTTTGTGATTTTATAAATTTTATTATCTACCTACATATCCATTTTCATTTTATACATATATAGCCATTAGATATATACTTAGAGTATGTATTAACATATAAATGGCAATTCCCTGATTACTATAATTTGCTTTTTCTTTTAATTTTTAAAAAACTGCATATTTCATAAGTGCAAAAATACAATAAACCTTCATTTTTAGCTAGTAGCTGGCTCATAATTTCTGTTCTACCTTTTCTGAATGTCTGAAGGCATGGAATTTATTAAAAGATTAATACTACAAAAACAAATACTGATTGCCAGTATATGCTCAGAACACCAAGAGAAAATATTAGTTGGTATTAAATTATCTCTTCATGAAAATACACTACTTGTTTAGGGATATGTTAAAGAAAATTTAATCATAATAGTTTTCTATTGTAATAGGGCCAGTTACCATAGAGTCTAGCAGTGAAAGAGTGACTGGCTAACTCAAGCCCAAACAAAAACAAGTGAGGATTTACGGTTAGGGAGCAGAGCAGGCTTAGTCGGTGTGATGTGAATAAAAGGAACCATAAAAGACAAGCGTTGCTGAGTAGACTAAATAGTAATACTGCTGAAGGGAAGCCAGGGTTATAAAATGCAGGCAACCAGACCATAAATGTGGTGGATTCTCACTAAACTGATATATCAAGATTTGTTCAAATTTTAAAAGGGCAGAGAGATGCTCAAGACAGGGACTGATCAGAAAGGACTCAGGGATATCAGACTTGAGGTTGTTTAAAGAGTCTTTCTCAGATGCTATCAATCAGAAAACAGAATCCTTCACTCCATTACAGGGAGTAGATTTTTAATTAGCAATAGTATTGCTATTTTTTTCCTTTCTCTCATCAATTAATTCTTCATCTTTTCTCTATTGATTGTGCAAGTCAATCTTAAGATACAGAGTCGGGAGAATTTGACATTCATTCTGAGAAATGAAGCTTCTATAAGGTAAATGCAATACATAGCAAGGAAAGAATAGAAGCAGTTGAGAAGTAGTGTACTCAGCAATTTGTAAATTCATGTATTTTTATTGAGTATTAATGTCACAGACACAAAAGGGAGGAGAAAAGTAGCGTCCTAGGCTCAAAATATTTGTGTTAGATGCTGCATGTATTGATGTGTTCTTAAGTACTAGAAACACATTAAATATTCCAAGCCAACAGAGAAGTGAGTCAATGATAGGGAATAGCTTTTCTATACTATAACTATTAAACTTGAAAATATCATCCTTCATTTAAGTACTAAGTGTAAGAACATTTCACACATACCTAAATAAAACTGAACAAATATAGACATAACCCACCCATATTTAGAAGACAAACCTTTTAGTTAAAATAATGAACTAACGGAGCCAGGACAAAATGTTAGAAAATTCAGTATTCGTATCCTGAAATCAACCTCCACTATTGGGCTAGATTGATGACCCTCTTGATTTTTCCCTCCAAACTAGGTTACTCTGAACATTTTACATTATACATTGTGTGCCAGGTTCCTAATGGTAAAACTTGGACAATTATGATACTTACATTTTATCTTGCAGTGTAAGTTAATTGATATGAAATCCTCAGGGTATGGGTAGTTTACAATAAGCTGTTTTGTTATTCTTAAAAGCTAGCAAAAAGACAATATTCTACAAGAGATTAACCTGAAATACAATTGGAGTTAAATAATATAAATGAAAATATTTAGGATAAAAATTCAAGCACTTTCTTCTTGATTTTAACAGAATCAAGCTGATTTGATTAAAAGTGAATAAATGACATTCACGATGCAACTGAGAGATTCTTACAGAATATAGAATAAAAATGGCAAACAGAGTTAGTGACTAAAAATAACAGCTATAATAAGAAACAAATGGAAAATGGATACATCTTGAGACCATAATGTTAAGTGAAGTAAACTAGACACACAAGCTTAAATATCACATGATTTTTCTTACATGAGAAAATCAAAATATAAATAAAGAGAAAAACAAAAGATAGATAATGGGGAACAAGGAGATAGTTCTTTTTTGAAAGTGAATGGAACCAAGAGATGAGGAGAGGGAGCAGAACAAAAGGGAATGAAGAAAAGAATTAAGATGTGTTATGTACAAGAACCAACTTCTCACGAGAAATGTAACTATTATGTACTGAAAACATATACTAATAAGAATTGTAACTTACAGAAATCTAGGGTTATTAAAAATGAAACTTGAAAGATTAAAAGACAGAATTGAAAAGATTTCTCAATTAAAGAAAGATGTAGGAAATATGGAAAAGTGTTCCAAACTCTAGAAAAAATAGTGAAAAGAAAACTCACATCTAGAATTAGTCACATAAAAATGTTTCAATCGTGAAATTTGTTTGATTTTATTATGTGTGATATAGTATAAGCAGCTACTTTGAAGATAATAAGAGGCATTATGGTAGCCATTGTTGATTTTCTATTATCCTGTTTTGAAGTCCTATATCATGATCCTATCACGTTCCCTGTTTTGTTTTGATTGGCTCTATTCTGTTTTACTTTCTTTGGTTTTATTCTCTTTAAAATAAAAGCAAAACAATAGCAACCAAAAATATGTTTATGTAAAGTCAATAAAACTGATCTCTTTAAATGCAAAAAAGTAATAAAAGTAAAAAGAAATTTATTCTACATTCATGCAAATACTGGAAAATGTTTAAAAATCATTTAAACTGCTTCACTGTGCTAAGTCACAAGAGATATGAAAATAATATAAAGTTATTCTGGGAGTTACGTGCTAGCATTCTTAAATTTAATCAAATTATCTTTCAGAAACTAAAACAATAGAAAACATTTATAAATATGTAATATTGCCTGGAATATACTATTTATTTAATATATTTTAAAAGTCTTAATGTCAACCTACTAAAATGACTTGTGAAATTTCACATCTCCTCATATACCGTTTACTGTTATAAAGCTATTAGAGATAAATATTGGCGCTGGAATAGACAAAAAGTCATCTTTGTACACTGTTGATAGGCATGCACATTGGTGCATCTGTTTTGGGAAAGTGTATGGAAAATATCAAATAAGTTAAAAATGAACTATGTGACCTGGTCATTATTCTGCTGGATATATATACATTTTGTAAATAAAATAATCACCTCATAAAGATAACATGACAACCTACATTCTGATTTTCATTGCACATTTACTTACAAACATCAAAATAAAAAAGCTGAAATATCTATTTTTAGATGAATGGATAAAGCAACTGATGTATGCATATATATATATGTGTGTGTGTGTGTGTGTGTGTGTGCGTGTGTGCGTGTGTGTATACATGTAATTATGCATATATATATATACCAATTATGCATATATATATATATATATATATATATATATACCATGACAATTAGGACTCAAATAAAACTATTGATGAATAAATGTCTTTAATGTGGAAAGAATTTTATAGATATGAGAGATGTATTATTTAATCATAGAAGGAATAATTCTTCAGAAATTCACTATAATATTTAATCCTATATGTAGCTAAAATTATAAAATCTAAATTTGTGGTTAAGAATTAAAAGTATTAAGTCAAGTGTACAATAATTGAAAACCAAAATTCATCTTCCAGCGTAGGACAAATGGGAAGAACAAAATGCTTAAATCTCCATAGAAAGAGTAAGATTTAGGGCTAAGAACCTTTAAAGACACAAATTGTCAAAGATAAATCAAACTATATCTGTCATAACTTAAGTAAGTTCATCTGTTATTAAATATATGCTCTTAAAAGATCAAAAATCAAATTCAATTATATCATAAACATATAAAACAGAATAGAATAGTAAAGTAAAAATTAAAAATATGAGCAGAGGTGTATCAGCTATACATTAACATACCATTATGCTATGATATTTTTATAAGATTTGATAGAACCTGAAGCAAATATTATAACTTTCTTAATCATTGCTGGGCTAAATAACTGCATAAAATAATTTAAAAAGGCATAGTGGAAGTAGGATATTTTAGGAGGCAATTCCACTGTTGACAAATTTCAGAAGACAATTCTATTGTT